TATTTATATAATGTGTTTGTTTTTATTTTAAAATTTTAAAATCCAATCATAAATATCAAACTTTAAACTTGAAATCATAAATCTTAAATTTTAAAACCAAAATTTTAAATATTAAATCTTTAAATTTAGATAATAAACCTTATATAAGATATATAAACATTAAAGCAAACAAATTTATATAAACAAAATGAACGTCAAATAATTTTTCGTGAAAAAAATTACTCCAGAAATATCTATAACAACCTCAAATCTCTCGCCCACAATATAGACCAATTAGTTGTGAAGTAGTGGGGTATTGGACTTTGATCTTCTAGTCATAGTCGTTAAAATCATGTACATGGATGATGGAGATTTTAAATTTCTCATACACACACGAATTATTAAATATATACAATAAAATATTTAATTATTTAAAAAGGACTTATGTTGACCAAATAAAGCTTTAGTGAAATTTAATATTTCATATGGATTTATAATATATTGTTTTCATTATCAATCAAAAATCTGTTTATTTGAATTTTATTAACTTGATTATTCATCTCACATGTGTATGTAGTTTGAATCTGGATTTATATCAACTGCATTCATGTTGAATAAATCCATACATTAAATTATCTACAAATTCAAATATATTAAAAATATCAATGTTTAATTTTTTTAATTTATCAAATTATATCTAAATTAATTTTGTAGACACTGATTTTCACCCAACAACTCCATCTCCGGAATTCTCGACACTAAATCAGCAATGATCATTTTTTAGTTCGAATAGAACTCTAAAACTAAAGCATTTGAGTTCAAATGGAACTCTAAATCTGTCTAAAAATAGCCAATCACTATGCTATTTAAACACATGTAAATCAACAAGCAAAGGGGGGACCAAAACGGATTCGAACGGGAAACACATAAACATTTCGAGAGAGCATTCGGGGAGTTTTTCTAAAGCCAGGAAAATACCAAAAAAATTCAAACTCGTTCGAAAAATAAAAAACGAGAAAGGATTTGAAGAAAGCTTACCCCGTTCTCTGTCGAATACTTGGCCATCGCCTCCATTGGTGCCAAAGCTTGCTTTTTGAAGGTAATCTTCCCCGTGAGTAGAAGAAACTAGAAGAGCTCTTAGGTCTTCTATTTCTATTTTTGATGGCATTAATCAACATGTGTTTTAATGTTACAATGGAAAACGACATGATATAGTGGAGGGGACCCACATGCTTTTGTGATGGGTTATTTGCATGTTAATGGCTCCTTTTATTTGTAGTTTCATCTTCAAACCCATGAATAAAATTTTGTGTTGGTTCTAGTTCTTACTTTTATTCACTTGTGTTTTAGTCACTGTTTGCCCATTAATTAGTTTTAGTTTAATCGATAATCTTGGTTGTTGGTTCATTAATGATTCTATTTTAGCCACTATTTGATGTTTAAGATTAATTATCATATAGTCCTTCTAACCTTTTGTTTCTTCATTTTTGCAGCTCTCTTTTTAGTTTCCACTTAACCCATTAATTCCGATTTATTTTTTTAATTTGGTCCTCAAAGCCTTGATTGTTTTTAATATTTTTTAAAATTATTATTTTTTCTCTCTCCTCGTATTGTTTCTGTTTTATTTAATATTTTTTTTATTTATTATTTCTTTTTTCATTTTCATTTTATTTCATTTTATTCATTTTTAACCTTACTTCACTCAATTTTATTATTTAATTGTTTTTTCTTTATTCATATTTTTTATTTAATTTTTTTAGTTTTCTAATATTTTTCTCTCTCATTTGATTTACTATTTTAGTTAGTTTTATTATTTTTTTTTTGGTTTATTTAATATTTATTTATTTTTATTTATTTTTATCTAATATTTTTAACTTTGTAGATAAATTCTAATCGATCAAAGGTAAGCAATTCGAATCGAATTTTTAAATTTCAATTTAATTTTTTTTAACTTTTCGCAACTAAGACAACCGACAAATTAATTGGTACCGAAAGGGCGGTTCAAGGGTGCTAATCCTTCCTTTACCGTAACCAACTCTCGAACCCGACATATTTCTGGTAAAACGCAGACCATGTAAGATGGTGTCCGATCTACCTAAATATCGATTTAAAATGATCGGTGGCGACTCCAATCCATTTTCCTAAGTCGAAGCCCAATTCCGGGACCCAATCGAAAGACGGTTGCGACAAATTTAAAGTTAAGAATTTATTTTGATGGAATGGAGCTGAAAAGTCTTTTACATATATATAAAAATAGATTTTAAATAAAAAATAGTATATATGGGTATAGGTTTTCCCTTTCTGCAATGTAATAAGGGTGCGTTTGGTTCATAGAATGTAAGATTACCAGTGGGAATAAAATATTATCAGAGAATATGATTACTGGGAATGTTGTATTTTGTGTTTGGTTGGTTTAGCAGAAATGTAAGATTATTGTGTTTGGTTAAAGGAATAAAAGATTATTAGAATGTATATTTGATCAAATTGTCTTTATTATATATTTATTTTTTTAACAAGTTGGAAAATATTTATATATTTTCTTTAAAAAATTTAAATTTATAATTTTTTTTACAAAATTAAAAATATAAAAATGTTTAATGAAATGGTAAAATTTTATTTTAACCCCTGAACTTCATATAAAATTTTAATTATAGATTTTTATTGTAAATCTAAAATAGTTTAAAGATATATTTGTAATTTAACTTTCGTATAATTTTTATCATTTAATGACAGAATAAATATTTTTTTGAAATAAAATTTTTTAAGGACATTTTGGTCCAAAATACTGGTAATCTAACAATACCTAATGAAATGGAGGTAATGACATTCCTTGTAATATACCCAAAAAATCCACTATTAATAATATAAGATTACCGGGAATGACATTTCGGTCAAACCAAACAGGGAAATGTAAATTTCATTCCCATAAAAATTTTACATTCCCCCAACCAAACACACCCTAAAAGCATCCCAGCGGCATTGATAATTGCTAATCTGCAAATGCATTAATGGCAGACTTTCACGATTCCAGCTCTTTGTAAGTATACGGTGTTCAAAGCTGCTTAATTTAATTTTATGCAATTTCCAAGCAAACCTTTTAAATACCAGAGTGAGATAAGTTGGGAGGTCAATTCAGACAACGTTGTCGACGTGGATATCTTTTATCATCCCTTCTATGTTACTATATATACTATATAGCATATCCGCATAATTTTATATTATACAAATATATTTTAAAATTAAAAAAAATAAATATATAAAATTTTAGAAGAATAAAAATAAATAATCATTAAAAAAATTTAAAACATATGATGGTTTAAAATTTTCAACTCCGGCTAGAGGGTTTATCCTTGTATACATTAGAGTATTTTTTTTATCTTTTAGGGTAAACTACATTGAGAGTCTTTGAACTTTTAAAACATTTGCATTTTACTTATCAAACTTTTATTCAGATAGCTGTACGTTGATTTTGTGATTTTTTGGTATACAAGTGGAACCCTTAAGTATTTCTCAAAAACCAAATCCCTCCCCAATATCATCTTAGACATTTAGAGACGCTTTTAGATAATAAAATTTAAATTTTGTCGTTACCAACATGATGTATGAGCACTCACAAAACTTGACATTTTTAATATCGTGTATATGCTTCTTTCACATTTTATCATATAACATCATTTATTTGCGAAAATATACGAGAGATGCCATGACCATTATGATTCAATTGTACATATTTCTAGGGTTCGATGTACACTTATTTACCGTTGGTGTAAGACAATCTTTTTCATAAAAAAGTAACATAAATCCTAAAAAAAACAATGTTTTCTTAAACTGTGTTAATTTTTTCTTATTAATTCTAAAGCCGAGATCATATTGAATCAAATAATTGATAAACAAAAACTCTTATTTAAATAGTAATTTTAGCTCAAAATCAATTAATCTTCGAACAATAGAATTATAATGAAATATAACTTAATTTATAATTAGAATTTGAGTTAATATCTAACGATCTCTCTATTGACACAAATTCTATCACAAATTGATCTTAAAATCTTTAACTTCAATTCTTACGTGATCTAGATATCAAATGAATCATCATCGTCAAATCTTTAACGAGTAGACTATGTAAAAAAAATCTCACCTTTCGATAGGGGACCATCACACTTGATCCACATCCCACAGTTGTAAAAGGTGGCTTCATTAGGTTTTCCTATTAGCATAAAAAGGGTTGTCCTCTATTCGAGTATGTCATGACTATATCCCCATCCTTTTTTTGGTTGAAAGCGAACCAAAGCGAGAGTGGCAGGCAAAGCTTGAAAAGCAATGGCAGGTTTTGATTTCAGTAGAGCCATTTAGCAGCAGTAGCATCAGCACTGACGTTGAAAGTGTCTGGAAAAAGCGTTGAACCAATAAATAGCCTTGGTTTACACTCCTTAAAATTGGAGCTGTTTAAATATTTTCACTTAACCCAATTCACAATAAACAAGCAATCTCTTTTTCTAAAATTGTTGGTAATGCGGCAGGCGGACCAAATCATTAACCATTAATAATGATGATTATTTGGTTAGATTAAAGTGGGGTTAATCAAAATCAACTCTTTCTTTAAAATTGGTAAAATAAAAATGCGAGAAAGAAAGTGCGGATGTATTGCCGGTCACGGTGCTGCTCTATTACGGGCATCAAAATCCTATCCTTTCATTAATCGCTTTCACAAAGGATACGAAATCCCCATAACGCCCTCGGGAAACATCGTAATCATTAATCAATGGTTAATAAATGCGGGGGATAGGGACAAGAGAGTCATTACGCATGAAACGGGGGGCCATTTACCAACGGACAAGCACTTCCCCCCTCCAGTTCTTCAAATCATACAAAAGTGCGCACGTTAGCTGTATCCCCTCACCCACAATCATCGTCAACGAAAAAATCGTTAAAACAAACCGAAAATTATTAAAAATATATTTTTAGAAAAAGAAATCCCCATGCATTTATATATTGGGATTTAATTTTAATGGCATTTTAGCTTAACCTACGCATCGAGACCTCCCCGACTCCTATACTGAAATCACTGACCACTGCCATAAATGGATCTATGTGCGCACTGCAACTCTTCTTTATAACTTCTCCTAACTTTCCCTCTCCCTCCTTCCCTGTGAATCTCCGTCTCTATGTCATTTCGAGAACCTTCCGTTTACAGCTCCGATCGGGTCTCACATTCCCTCGGATCCGGCCCGATTTTTCCCCAATCGGAGCTTCTGCTTCTTCTCTTCCGGTGCTTTTCTTCGTCTCCGGCATTTGTCTGAATCTGATCGGATATCGTCTCCGTGAATGTGAGATTTATTTTTCCGTTTGTTTGTTGTTGTTTCTGTTTTTCTAGTTCGATTCTGAGAAGAGATGAATCCGCTATGCTGCATTGCACCGGTTTCCATCGATCGTGACCGGGCTAACCCGGGGGTTACCAAATCGGGTCAATGTCAGCTGAGCATCGAAACTCCCGTTAGGACCGTTAACTACTCTTCGAAACCGAGTTTCTCCTCTCAGGTCTCCTCCATCAACGCCGACACTGACAGATCTTCGCCCTCGGTGATGAATCCGACCTCCATGGCATTATTTGACGAGCCTATTGTTGGAGATGTTACTGGCATCCACGGTGTTGCTGGGATACTGTACAAATGGGTGAATTATGGAAAAGGATGGAAGTCGCGGTGGTTCGTGTTGGAAGACGGGGTTCTCTCGTATTATAAAATTCACGGACCTGATAAGATATTGATGAGTCCATCGAGGGAGAAGAGCGTACGAGTGATCGGCGAGGATTCGGTCCGGTACATGAGGAAAGCTAACTGGAGTAGCAATCGGCTTCAGTCGGTGACGACTCAGTGCAAGCCGTTTGGTGAAATTCATCTGAAGGTTATTTTGCTTTCTTCCTTTTATTACTCGGTTCAGACTTAATTTCCGCTTTTTATGTTGTTTTTGTTTCCGTGGCAAAAGGGCCCGTTCTTTCAGTATTTTATTAGAAGGAAAAGGAATATACGGACCATAACTTTCCCTTTCAGTAGTTTTTTAATTCTCGATGTGTGGTTATTGATGCTTGCATTGCATGCCTAGAAATTTAATACTAGAAAATTATGCTGGAAATTCTTTAGCATTATTTCTTAGTTTCCTCCAATGGAGCCACTTGGAAGAACCCATCGAATCGAACCTTGGAGTGACCTTGAAAGATTGGAGGATTAGTGGGAATAGAGAAGAGGTCCTTTTGATTTTATTCTAAAAAAAAGTCCCTGCTTCGATGCTTTAAAGTGTGGAATAATTGTTTTCGCGAAAGTCTGTTTCTATGGTTTTTAATATTGAGATTTCTTTCTTGTGGAGAAAGCCTATATATTTGACTGGCCTTTTACATGCTTCTTTCGTCCATTGTAGTGGCAATAAACTATCCAGATATAATTTCAGATGTTCTCTTAGAGGATTAACGGGAATAAAGAAGAGAAGGTGGTCTGGGTTCATTTTAGAAAAAAATGATACGCTTGAATACTTTGAAGATTAACTTGTTTCTACGAAAGTCTGTTTTTGTGATCTCTAATGTTTAGATCACTAACATCTGCAGAAAGTCCATATGGTATACTAGCCTTTTACATGCTTCTTTTTTCCATTGTTGTGGCAGTAAACTTTCCAGATGTAATTTCAGGCATTCTCTTGCAGTTGCTTCATTCTGGATGAAAACTCTGGAGAATGACCCGATAAGAAAGTACACTCATTATTTCTTATGAGAATCAACTACATAAACTAGCCTACTTTATTGAAGCAAAATACACTGGCACAAGTTCAAAACTCCTTTCCTGTTTATAAAAAGATGCCCACCAGAAAGCTAAAACAAACTCTCTTGCCACCCTCCATCACTTTGAGCACCTCGTAGAAAATTAGGTTCTAAAAATATCTTTTATTCTGTTTTTGGGGAAAGATCACTGAAAAGTTTGGACGCTAATGCACAGGTTTCTTCAATTCGTGCTAGCAAGTCAGATGATAAAAGGCTTACAATATTCACAGGAACAAAGACTCTTCATTTGCGATGTGTGTCAAGAGAGGACAGAACTGCATGGATTGAGGCCTTGCTGGCTGCTAAAGATCTTTTCCCTAGAGTGCTGTCAAGTAATGATTTTCAAACTTCTGAGGATGTCGTCATCTCAACCGAAAAGCTAAGATCACGTTTGTTACAGGAAGGCATTGGCGAGACGGTCATTAAAGACTGTGAGTCAATAATGCTTTTAGAACTTTCTGAGATGCAAAATCAGCTCAGGGTTCTTCAATGCAAGCATATTAAGTTACTTGACACCTTGCGGCAATTAGAGGTACATGTGATTTTCATTGTGAAATAGTACGATTTGGTTGTCAAATATATGGTAGAGTGTTTACCTATTCTTTAAACTCTTCCACTATGCCTTTGTAGCTTGAGTTGATATATTACCTAATGTTCCGCCTTTATATCTAATGTTCTGCCTATCTCATAGAATGTGGTAGTGGTAATTTGATCTTAGTAAAAGATATTTGACACAGCAACTTAAGGATCACCTGTATTTGTTTGATGTATTACTATGCATGAATAAATTACTTTATATTCTATACACAAGCCCATTAAAGTCTATAGCAAAAAGCATTTCACTTATTATTAAATGTTTTATATGTGATTTTTACTCAAATACCCAAAGCCAGTTCCCCTTTTCCTCTGTTGGCTTCTATATTCATAATTTCTTTACTTTTTTTATAGAATTATATTGTTTACATTTGGCTTTTCTTGAATATGTAGAAAGTCAGCTCTGTAAAAGTTTTCCTTTGAGGTATAATTTCCATCTCCTGTCTTGTTTGCAGACAGAGAAAATAGAGCTTGAAACTACTGTAGTTGATGAAACAAAGGAACGCAAGTCATATTGTGGAGAAGGAAGACGATTTAGTGGTTTGTTTTGCTTTTAAATTGTAGTAAATAATTTCTTTTTAATTCCCACCTTTTACCCCTTTTGATGTTGTGTAACATTTATTCAGTATTGCTGATTAACTTATTAGCAATTTTTTATTTCATAATTTCAAGGGGAAATTTTGATTCAAAGCCCTAGGTCACATGTTGGTTAAATAATTACTTGATTGACCGCAGGAAGTTTCAGCTAAATTTCTCTTGAAAGAACTTATTCGTGAGGAAAAAGTTCCATGACTAGATTCCTTTTGTTACCTGGTCTTAATATAGATTAGAAGTTTAATAACTCCTTGCCTTCCACATGTTGCAGATTTCTACTCTGTCATGTCAGAGGGTAGTGCTACTGATTCTGATGTGGATAATGATAGTCAAGATGGTGCGGACATTGAAACAGATGAAGATGATGGAACATATTTTGATACAAATGACTTTTTGACTTCAGAAGCTCTAAGAAGTGCTTCCTATAGGTGTAGGGAAACTGGAAGTGGCTGTGTATTTGATAAAGATGCTTTGTTTTCTGATTGTATGTGTAGGCCTGAAAAGGAAATCAGGACCATTCAATATGCTTATGTCAAGAGAAGGGATAACCTGCCAGAACCAAAGGAGAAAGAGAAGCCAGTAGGCTTGTGGTCTATTATCAAGGATAATATTGGAAAGGATTTATCTGGAGTCTGTCTTCCTGTGTACTTCAATGAACCGCTCTCTTCATTGCAGAAATGCTTCGAGGATTTGGAGTATTCATACCTGGTTGATCGAGCCTTGGAATGGGGAAAGCAGGTCAGGTCCTCAGCTCTGCTTTCTTTTGTGGCAAAGAAGTTTTAAAGCATGATCTGCTAGTTTCTTTAATCCAGGTAGTTTATGTACTGGCTTTATGTAGATTAGCATATTAGAATGTGACAATACACTATAGGTTTTAGTTTGAAGCTGTCTATAGGGTTTTAGTTTGAAGCTGTCTCTTTTATCATTAGCAGTTATTTAGCGCCTTTGTCAGTTATCGTGTATTGTTGGCTCTGAAACTATTTGCTTCTTGTCTAATCAGAATAAATAAATAAATAACGAGGAAACTACGGAGCAAATGAGAGGAGGAAGAGATAATTCTAGAATGGGATATCTGTATATGTGCCTCCACTGGCTTTATGACTCTTTCTCTGGGTTGGGTTTGCTGGGGAACTTGTTTGTAGTTTCGATGCTTGATATTTTCATCCTTAATTGCTGCTTTTAAATATTTTCCCATCCTTTTTTCAAGCTTTGTTTGCTTTTTTACAAGGGCATACTTCCACACTTGCTCTGCAATAAACATCACTCCCACCTCCAATTTCCCTTTTGCCTTGGATCTTTTTGCATTACTTGCTTTCAGAACTGTTGTCATGGATGTCAACAAACGCCTCCCCTTTCTTTAAACCATTTTCAAGGGGTAAGGCTAGACTGACCTAACATTGCAATAAATACAAGGAGATGAACGCCGGGATAGTCTATGAGATCTGGTCATCTTGAAGCCAGCTAGTTGAAGAATGACCCTAAATTTGTTTTTGTTGCTAGATCTGAAAATGTAGTGACTGGATTTTTAGCTTTGCAGTCTCTTTGAGGCTTTAACTGCTGGAATCTTAAATTAATATAAGAAAATATTGTTTTGTAAGATTAAAAATGTTAATGGACCCTAGCAATTCAATTTACTTACTGAACTAGCTGTCCTGTTGTTTTCATGGATGTTTTTGATTGATGGTTTTTCTATGCATGATCAGGTAGGAATGACATGCTCTTTTTGGGGACATGCTAGTGGTTTTCTTCTACATTGTGTTATTGTTTCCATCCATAAAGGGAAAAAAAGGCTGCTAGAATTATAAAAAGCCGTTTAGAGAAATATCATAGAGAGAGAAAATTTATCCCTTCAAAAAACTGCTAGCTTTTTTTTTTGATAAAAAGAAAGGTCTAGTTAAAAACCCCTTCATAACCGTCAAACAACAAGAGTGGCTCAACGGACATTGGAAACGGTCATTGGAAGGAGGAAAAGAGTACATCAAAATTTTATTACATAAATCCAAGTACAAGAAGAATACAATACCACAAACAACCTTGATTACCACCTCAACAATGAGCTACAAAAAACTATAGAAACACAACAATTACTATGCCGAACTCATAAAAACTATATTCGAAAGGCAATCGACCAACCGCAAGCAAAACACAATTGTCAAAAAAGACCGAAGTTCCCCAAATACAACACACTCAATGCAACAAAAATACCCCAACCAATTAGCCTATCCCCAACTTAGCATATTCATCCACTTCCCCGTTTGCTGCTCTAGCTTTAAAATCTGAAGGAATTTGGAAAAGAAATATCATAAAAGGGAAGATAATTCTGAATGTCTTTCACTTCCATTATTTTGTCATTTTCTACTACATATTGTCTTTTGCTTGATTACTTGGAAATCAGTGCCTTAGAAAAAGATGTTTTGCTGTAGGGAGTAGGGACTGGGGGTGATAATTGAGTTGAGTAACTCCAGCTCGACTCGGCTAATCATCGACTCGAGTTGATTCGACTTGAACTCAACTCGAGACCTTAACGAGTCTTGATAAGTTCGCGAGCAGCTCGTTAACTTTTTTTAATTTTTAATATGTTTATTACCTTATTTTTAGGATTGATTATGTATTATTAAACTTATTTTTTTTTAAATGGTTGTAATATGTTTGTTTGGTCATTGGTGTATTCATGTATTGTTACTTTGGTTGTAATATGTTAGTTTGGTGTATTTGTGGATTTTTCTTTGGAGTCTAAACTTTGGAATTGCTTCACGCACTATTTTGATATATTTTTGTTAAACTTTTTTAATTTATGTTTCTATTAAGCTCTATATACTATTTACTATATTTTCCATATATTTGGGGGGAAAAGGCAAAAGTTCTAGTGAACTTAACAAGCAACAATTCGAGTCGAGCAACAAGTTTTTTTTAACGAGCACGAGTCGAGCAAATTTTTGTCGTAACTTATCGAGTATCAAGTTGAGTCAAGCACGAGCTGAACACAAGTCGAATAGTTTTCGAATCAAGTCAAGCATTGCTCAGCTCGTGCTCGACTCGATAAGCACCCCTAGTAGGGACACTATATTTATGTACCTTCCATTTTACAAATATGAACTCAATATCTCATATTGTGTCTAAGGAATTTCGGAAAAAGAACCAAGTTTTTGTTGCATTTCTTTCCAAGTTGTTCCTTTCATAATCTAAACTTTTAGCTGTGGAATTCTAATTTGATTGCAGGTTCAGTAAATAATCAAGGAAGATGCTGGCATAATGGTTCTGTGATTGTTTCTAACTTGTCCAGGAACATATATGCATATTTTGCTTCTAAATGTATACTTACTGCCATGGTGTTTTGCATTCTTAGGTTCTAGGCCGAAGGAATTCATAACAGCGTTTTAATGAGTTTATTTACGTTATAATTGACTGCCAGTGGTTGTTGACATAATGCAGGAAAACGACTTGATGAGAATTCTAAATGTTGCTGCATTTGCTGTATCTGGTTATGCGTCGACAGAAGGTCGGCAGTGCAAACCATTCAATCCACTTCTTGGGGAGACATATGAGGCTGACTATCCAGATAAAGGACTTCGTTTTTTCTCTGAAAAGGTATTCTATGCTGGGTTAACTGGTTATCGGTCGAACTACTGGAAAACCTTCGGCGGAAAGATGAACAAAATGATTTTCTGTTGCACATGGTTGAAAATAAGACGGATTGTATAGGGTAGTTATGGCATTCGATCTAACAGTTGATTTGATAAGCTGTTTGCTTCCAGGTGAGTCACCACCCCATGATTGTTGCTTGTCACTGTGAGGGTAGAGGATGGAAATTCTGGGCAGACTCCAATCTCAAAGGAAAATTTTGGGGGCGATCCATTCAACTCGATCCAGTTGGTTTGCTAACATTGCAGTTTGAGGATGGGGAGACTTTTCAATGGAGCAAAGTTACCACGTCCATATACAATATTATCCTTGGTAAAATCTATTGTGATCACTATGGTACCATGCGCATAAAAGGCAGTGGCAATTACACTTGCAAGATCAAGTTCAAGGAGCAGTCAATCATAGACCGAAATCCCCATCAGGTTGTATTTTATTCTCCTTAACATATAGGTCAACCAAGCTTCATCGAGTATATCTAATAGTTTACCATAGTGTCTGCAATGGTGGACAAACTCATGTTTGTTTTGTTTTCTGTTAGCAGAAAGGTCCACTCTTTGCCTTGTGGAAGCATTTCTAAATAATAATTCATTTGTTGATTCAGTGTTATTTGACTTGCTTCTATCTTTATAATATTAGAAAAAATGGGGTTTGATAGGTTTCAGTTGGTCAGAAACATTCAAAACTTTCACAAAATGATAGTGAAGTCAATTTGGCGCTCTGTTTTATGCCATAGTTCTGCAAAATTGAAAATGACTATGAACTCTTATTGACCATAATTTGAAGAAAGAAATTGATGGTTTCTCTCGACGATATCAGGTTCATGGATTTGTGCAAGACAATAGGACAGGGGAAAAAGTGGCCATGTTGGTGGGCAAATGGGATGAAGCTATGTATTATGTGCTGGGAGATCCAACCATGAAGCCGAAAGGGTATGACCCAATGACAGAAGCTGTGTTGATGTGGGATAGAGACAAATCTGCTACTAAGACAAGATACAATCTTACCCCTTTTGCAATATCCTTAAATGAATTGACTCCTGATTTATTGGAAAAATTGCCCCCGACCGACTCAAGACTAAGGCCAGACCAGAGACACTTAGAGAATGGAGAATATGAAATGGCAAATGCAGAGAAGCTGAGATTGGAACAGTTACAGAGACAGGTATTTACTTTTTCAGCGTGTATTTGTTGAATCAATGGGTAAAGAAAAGAGTATTGGTTATTTGCGAAATATCATAAGCATATGGCTGTTTAGAACATATGTTTTTGTGTAAAGCGAAGAGTTGCAGATGCTGGGATTCGAATCCTGATTCTGTTGAATACTATGGTAGCTGCATGAATCAACTTTTAGCTAGACTTTGAGTTGGTCCTTAAATGAACATGGTAATGTGATTATAGATCAGACTCCCTTGATTCATTTGATTTTGACTTTGGTTTAGGCAAGGAAATTACAAGAAAGAGGATGGCAGCCAAGATGGTTTAACAAAGATGAAGACGGTTGTTATCGGTACAATGGAGGATACTGGGAAGCAAGAGAGAAAAGGAAATGGGATGGAATCCCTGATATATTTGCGCAGAGTAGCAGCAGTAGTCGTAATTCGCCTTCATGTTTGATTGAAGAGTGACTAAGCTAAGCTATATTTTGTATCTGCTTACTCGGCTATATTTTGGTTATTGTTTATCTCTTCTTGATCCCACATAATTTCTTGTGTATGATGATGATGATGGCAGAACTTGTGGATCTTAGATTGATGTAGCCCAAGATATAAATGAGCTTTTATTTGGAGTGCAATTGCTGTGTCAAGTTCATCAAGAAACTAATTAGTTACTTGTCCGTCCGATTATCCAACTGATTACAATTCTTAAGAATTACAAAGCAAATCTGAAGAAGGAAACAAAATTTGAAATTGGTGATGGGAAAGGACATACCCATAAGGCTGCATTACCCATAAAGCTTAGGCCGCCCTTGCTCTGCCCTCTCTGGTGACTACGCTACTGCCTAAAGTTCTTATCTCATTAATGAGATATCTCTCACTCCTCGGCCTTACACATCACCTTATATATTTTTATTTATTTATCCATTTGTTTATTTAGGTGCATTATCTTTAATTCCAGATGCATCACAATAAAAATCTCAAGTGAAATAATATATATAAAAAAAAGCTGACAGGGAGTGACACCAATTATTACAGGTGCGACCGGGTGAATTCATGAGATAATGTTCTCGAATTTTTTTATTCACGATATAATGTACATCCCAGATTAATTGCTAAAATGGGGTGAATTCTACAGTGATCTCGTAGGACGCCATGCAATCCAGGCGTTCTTGTAGGACGTCATGCAATCCAGGCGACATACGAGCCATACGGGGTGACATACGAGCCATACAAGGCATATACGAGCCATACGAGCCAATGGAGAGGTCGCCATGCAGTCTTATACGAGGAGAGGTCGTCATGCAGACGAGCCATGCAGACGAGCCATAGCATCGAGAGGTCGCCATGCAGTCTGGGCGACCTTGTAGGTCGCCATGTAGTCCCGGTGACCTTGTAGGTCGCCATGTAGTCCCGGCGACCTTGTAGGTCGCCATATAGTCCCGGCGACCTTAGGTCGCTCCTAGCTCACGAGACCATGCATGCACTTGCAGCCACGATACCATGCATGCACTTACAGCCAAGATTCCAGCTCACGAGACCATGCATGCACTTGCAGCCACGAGACCATGCATGCACTTGCAGCCAAGATTCCTTCACGTGCTCCCCTCCTGCTCCCCGCTGCATGCCTACAGCTATTGATGCATGCATGTGAACCATTTGAGCCGTGAGTGGTACAATAATTGAACCATTGCTGTTGGTGAAATAATTGAGGCAATCGGTTATATATGGGGTGTGCAAATCGCAAGAACATAAAAGAAAGATCTCACATAAAAGAAAGAAAGAAAGGGAGAAGAGATTGCAGCCGAGAAAGAAAGAAAGGGAGAAAGGAAAGTAAGAAGAAGAAAGGGAGATAAGGTAAATTTTTTTATATTTAAATTAGTTTATTATTATAAATGTTAATTAGTTTATTAGTTTAGGGTTATATGATTGTTAGTTTAAGTTATAATATACATAAATTAAAAATTATTTAATTAGTATATGTTTGATAGTTATATAGTTAAAAAATAATTAATTAGTTTGTTTTGTTAATAGTTAGTTATATAAAAAAAATTATTTAATTAGTTTGTGTTAGTTAAATAGTTAAGTTATATTTGTTTGTTGAATATATATTATATAAAAAATTAGTTAGTAAGTTTATTAGTAGTATATTATAATAAAAAAATAGTTTATTAGTTAGTTTTAGTTATATAAAAAAATATTTTATTAGTTGTTTAAGGGTTTAGTATTTACGTTTAACTTATATTTTAAAAAGTTTAGTTTGTTAGTTTATTAGTTTATTATATTATAAGTTATTATATTAAAGTTTAGTGTTGTAAATTAGTTAGTTAGTTTATATTAGATTATATTAAATGATTTTTTAAATATTGTTGTTTAATTTTTTTTACAGATTCATTCCAATGGCTGACCAAATTCCACTGTTGAGGCTTGACAATGAACATATTTCAAGTCATTTGGGAATAATGGTGAATAAAATATTTGTTTAATGAATTATAATTAATAAATATTTGAATATTATTTTATGATTGTGATAATTTTTTTGAAATATTTAATTGTAGGAGGACGAGCAGCGAGTCCTTCGTCTTCGACTACATAAAGTGCCCAAGCCACACCCACTGATAGAAGAAAATTTGCAAGAGGCTGGATTTTGGTATATAACATTTGTGCGAGATTACAAGTTGGTCAGTGCGTTGATTGAACGTTGGAGACCAGAAACGCACACGTTTCATTTGCCGTGTGGCGAATGCACGATAACTTTGGAGGATGTGGCAATGCAACTCGGGGTCCAAACTAATAGGATGCCGGTGGTAATGTCACATGAGTTTAATAAGGTGGAACAACTTTGCAACTTGTTTCTTGGGAAAGCGCCCGTACCACCAGAGTGTAAAGGGTGGCGGGTGAGGTTGTCATGGTTGAAGAATGAATTTCAACTTCAATCAAATAGTACGGAGCACGAAATTATATATGCAACACGAGCATATATATTTACAATTGATTGGGGGAATTTTGATGCCTGATAAATCTGGTAGTTATGTTCACACTCAGTATCTTCTTTTTTTAACAAATTTTGAGAATTGTAGTCAATATAGATGGGGTTCGGCGATATTGGCGTTCTTGTATCGTGAGATGTGCAAGGCGTCATTAGTCGTGAATGATAATAATACAGTAGAAATCGGTGGATGTCTGTTGCTGCTACAATCATGGGCTTGGCATAGACTTCCGTTTTTGACACCGATTAGTCGGACTGCGGTTGACTTTCCACTTGCCGGAAGGTAATATGAATCCTCTATTTTAATATAAAATATTAATTAAAAAAATATTTATTTTGATTAAAATTATTGAACAAAATGTCTCTATTTTTGTTTTGATTGATATACAGATGGAGGCATAAAATTGAAGGCACAGGGTTGGTGCACAACAACATTAAAGAGTTCAGGTTGAAGATCGACATTAAGGCCAAAAAGGAGGTATGCATAATCTGTATTTTTTTAATTATTATTTAAATTAACTATATTATTTGATTTAAATAAATTTTATTGTTTTTGTAATTTTACAGTTTAATTGGAGACCATACATGAATGAAGAATTATTTGCGTTGATACCGCACGATATTTTAGATGGGTTTCAATATTGGTGTGCTGTTACACCATTGATCAATTTTGCTTTTGTTGAGATCCAATTTGGGGATAGAGTGCTGAGGCAATTCCACTTCCACCAACCTATTCCGCGGAGTCCATGGGATCATGACCTCCTCCAAAACTTAGATGGACGTCGTCCAGTGAATTGGGTTGAGACGCATGACGACCTGCACAGATTTGATGGTCGTCGTAAAGAAAGCGTTAATTGGGTTGAGAAGCATGCAACCTACATTAATGCTTGGAACAATAGGGCTTCATTCATGCCAACTCTTGACGCCATTCAAGACGACGACTTTAATTTTGAGACTTCGGCTTACCTTGCTTATTTTTTGGATAATGGAAAGCCGTTCCTCACAACAATAGTAGAGAGGCGACAATTTTTGAGGTTTAAGAAAATATTTGGTAAAGCTGAATACTCTCTACCGAGTGGGAGTGGGAGTTCATCTCTACAACCTGAAGCGGAAATGACTGATGTGGATAATAGCGCACCACAATCGTTGCATCACGCAGTTGATGATTCTACTGTCCCGGCATACATACCAGAGTTTGTGCAGCCTGAGGCACCCATCTATTCTCCTACGTTTTCGTCGACGTATGACTTTGAACACATGACAGTTCAAATACCCCCAATGAATGAGGGGGATGGGTACAATACTCCTGAGCCACAACGGCCACAACGTATCAGACGTCCGCCCCGACATTATCATTCAACAACACCCCGGCATCGACAACAATTGTAAACTCGTTTGCTATTTATTACAAATTATTTATTGAAATTAGACTAGTTTTTTTAACCTTAACAATGATTTTTAGTATCAAATCATTACTAGTATCAAATAATTAAATATTTAGTAAATCAACTATTTTAAATCATTAGTATCAAATAATTAAATATTAACAATAAATCATTAGTAATCAATAATTAAATATTTAAAATCCTTAAATAAATTCGACTATGTATAAATTTAAACTCAGTAATCCACACTTGTACACTCATTTGTTAGTATTCTATAATTATTAGTAATAATTATTAAATCATTAGTATTAAATCATTATTATAAATAATTACTAAATAATAACTAAATAATTATTATAAAATCATTATTATAATGATTATTATCAAATCATTACTAAATCATCAAATCATTAAATATTTAAATCATTATTAAATCATTTTTATAATGATTATTACTAAATCATTATTATAATGATTATTATCAAATCATTACTAAATCATCAAATCATTAAATATTTAAATCATTATTAAATCATTTTTATAATGATTATTACTAAATCATTATTATAATGATTATTATCAAATCATTACTATAATGATTATTATCAAATCATTACTAAATCATCAAATCATTAAATATTTAAATCATTATTAAATCATTTTTATAATGATTATTATTAAATCATTTTTATAATGATTATTACTAAATCATTATTATAATGATTATTATCAAATCATTATTATAATTATTATTATCAAATTATTACTATAATGATTATTATCAAATCATTACTAAATCATCAAATCATTAAATATTTAAATCATTATTAAATCATTTTTATAATGATTATTACTAAATCATTATTATAATGATTATTATCAAATCATTACTATAATGATTATTATCAAATCATTACTAAATCATCAAATCATTAAATATTTAAATCATTATTAAATCATTTTTATAATGATTATTACTAAATCATTATTATAGCGATTATTATCAAATCATTACTATAATGATTATTATCAAATCATTACTAAATCATCAAATCATTAAATATTTAAATCATTATTAAATCATTTTTATAATGATTAATAAATAAATAGAAATACATATATGATTACTAATGATGAGGCCTATATCTTGGTAAATTAGGACAATTGTTTTTTGAATGGCCTTCACCCCTACATAATCCGCATCTCTTTGCTTAACCTCTCTCTATAGCATGAAAATCCATACTGGTATGAATTCGAGTGGACT